CACTTGTACAAACAGACAAAAATAGATATTTAATTAGAAATGGATAATTTCTGATTCCATTTCAATGTTCCATAGTTTTGAAATCTGCTCTATTTTGAACCATTGTATAAAAACCAAAAAAGAAAAATCAAACAAACATCCATATACACAGTTCGAGGTAAAGAAAAGATATTCTACAGTGATCTACAAAAGATAATCAAGTTATTTTAATCCAGGCATCCTCAGGTAACCTAACTATTTCCAATGTAATCCATTCTTATTCAAACAGAAAATGAAGTTGTTTAAAAAAAAATAAAGTCACTGGCTTAGTCTTAATTTCTACATATTCTTTGATAATTCTCTACAATGATTGATTGATTTGTTTTTATGGCTTATCAACCCTTTGCAGGTTATTTAAAAACAGAAAATATTTTTTTTAGATTGTAACAATTTTTTGGAGATAATAATGATTTACTGATACAATTGCTACTTATTAACTCATAAATGGGGGTAGAAGAGGTGGATTTATACCTTTCCCAAGTGGATTTGTGTATAAGTGAAAATAACGAACTCGACTAGATTTTGAGCTCAGTACTCTAATTCCAATCAATTATCCATTTCACCACCTGCACACCCAAGCATACAGAACCTGGTATTCCTAAGTGGTCACCCATCTAAGTACTGACCAGATTCGACATTGCTTAACTTCAGTGATTGTTATTCTTCTACAGTTCAAGTTTTGCAACTGTGTTAATACTACTCCAGCTGGTCTTTCACAATGTATGCCAACCAAAAGACATGGGAGAGGACGAAAGGAAAAATAATTGTATAAAATTTAACAAAAATACATTAATAAAAAAATGCTCTTCTTCCTTCAAAAAGAATCAATTGTTATTCTATACGTATTATCAGGGAAATATAGGTAATTGATAAATCTTTAATCAGAGGTGATGTGTTTACTTTTAAAATAGACATTGATATTTACAGTGAAAATACATACAAGTTAATCACAGTAATAAAAAAAAATTGTGTGTGATTTCAGAGATCATATGTATGCATATGTATACACACTCACACACCAATATATATTTCAAATGTACAAAAATGTACCTTTGCATTAAGGGTAGCAGGTATTCTTTGTAAGGATTAAACTTTAACACTGATAGATTATTTGTCAAGTGCTATTCTTCAGCTAGGTTAGATTACTGTCACTTCAAAGAAATTATTAAACAATTCCATTGATGTTGCTATTAAAGGGGGGAAAATGAAAGAGAACATAGCTACATAGACACCACATTGGTACAAAACTATTTAGTGTAATTTCAATTACTGATGTATGTCAAATAAAAAGATTGGTTTTGCTATACTTAAAGCACTGACACGGTTACTCACATTGTGCCTTTCTATTAGCTTAGAAATCTCATATAAATAACAGGGAATCGTACTTAATATTTCGTTCAAATAGGCATTGGTCTAATTACCTCCCTTTATGACCTCATATAATAAACTACAGGGTACCCAGTAAAAAAAAGCGTCAAATTTATTATCACCATTTTATCTTTTAGGAATAATTAACCTTGAATAAATTTCTTGAATATTCATGACCTTGAATAAAGCTACTGCCTCCTGGTCACCATGCTTACAACTTTTTATTGAACATTCAGGCAAACATTTCAAACATCTATGATGACTGTTCAGTTTATGCATGAATCATGATAGCTAAATAAATTTCTTTCTGAATTTATTGCTTTTTTGTTGGGCACCCTGCAGTAACATAGTTTCTTTGATAAATAAATTGAGGAGTTGGAGCAAGAGAAAGCATAAATAAGTCTTTATAAGTCCAATAAAGCCTTCATTTTGTAAAAATAGGCATTGATTAACATTTGCAGTTGGGTTCCATATATAATATTTGTATTTTAAGAGATATCAGAGTAAAACCCTGTTTTTGTGCTTTGTAATAGGCCCCCACCCATTTGGCAGTGAAGAAACAGCTAATCTAAGAGAAAAACCAGTCAAAGATAAAAACAGAAAATTATATATATTACTTCTGAATGTCCTGGTCTGGTTTTCCTATACCCTCCAACCCACCCATCCATGTTTTTTTTGTTTTTTTTCATATATAACACTGGTTTATGAAAGAAAAGCCAAAATGCAAAATTAAGAAAAATAAATTTTGCATTATTTGAACTTTGTATCACAGTGTTTAAATCATGGGGCAAAAAGATTTTACCAAAAATAAAGCATTTAATGAAAGAAAAAATATTAACTTAGGAAAAATGATGAAAAATCTTGCCTCACAAAAAAGTTTTAACACTGTTTTTTTCTGTAATTGTTTTCAGACAGTTTTGTCAACTATTTTCTATTATTTAAAAAAGAGAAAAAATTCCCTTTTCCAGTTTATCTTGCTTTACAAAAAGGCCCAACTTAATCTCTGATTGTTTTCATCGGGTGTTTCACATCACAGAAGATGAAGATCAAATTGCAATTTGCTACTTGAATATTTGAATCTGTAACCATAAAGCTAACTGATCAGCAAGGGAGGGAGATCAATTTTAGCCAGAGTCAGTCAATTCTACCTGGAACGGTGCTCTTCTTTTTATTTAAACGTATCAAAATCTACCTGATATCCACTATTATAAATGTCCAGTATGTAAAAACTTACATGTTTTTTTGTTGAAAATATATGCAGTTACATTTTTCAATCAAATTCATTTGTGGATATTTCAGAATTGTCACCAAAATGGTGCAGAAAATGACCAGCAATGCAAAAATAGAAGCCTTTTTGCAATGCAAGATATTAAGAAAATAGGGAACTTTTCCTTTACCATGTATCATATTGTGAATACAATTTTTTAAAAGAAAAAAATATATTAGGAAATGTATAAAACAAAGATTTTGTTTTGATCCCCCACGCACCCAAAAGTGTTCGACCAGCGTATTTTTGGAAGATAACGTTTTTAAGGCAAGCATTCTTTGTAATTAAAGAGTTATCAAAAGATGGGGCATTAATAGGAACAAATAAAATGTTCAGCTTATCTGTACCTACTCAGTGTTCTCTGGATACAGTATCCACCTTTTAGGATCTTGATAATAAGATTATACTATCAAGCCCCTGATGAGTGGATATCTTTTTTGGCAATACTACAAAATGTGTGTGTGTGTGTGTATATATATATATATATATATATATATATATATATATATATATATATATATATATATATATATATATATATAGGGGAAAATGTTTCCTTGTGACATGTTTTGTGCTTTAGGACTTCAGACTAAATTTGTTATGTTGGTGCAACTATATATGGCTACAAATGAGAGATGCTGGATATATATATATATATATATATATATATATATATAAAAAAAATTTAAACTCCCAGTATCCCTCGTTCATGTGCATGTATAGTTGCACCAACATAACAAATTTAGTCCAATGAAGTCCTAAAGGATGAAACATATCACAAGAAAACTTTTTCCACTTTGTCATACATTTTCCCCCAATACACACAAAGAAATAGGATTTGGCAGAACCTCCCACATTTTAAACTTTCACCTGTGTGGGGCTGGTTAACTTAAGTAAATGGCAATGATGTCTTTAACTAGCTAATGTCTTAGCATCTTTTTTCTGATAACATTATGGCTTAGACTGCTGCATACCATGTGTTTGCTGTTGAAATGTTTTTTTAAAACCGGTGAATCTGTAATTGTAACACAGAGAGCTTTTCATACTCATTTCATATGTTGGAATGATGCTGTTTCGGGTAGAAAATCGATACTGCTATGGGTTGAAAATTTCAGGGCCACAGGTTCAGCACTTAAAAGAAAGCCATCTGGAAGATCTTGAAGCTCTCAAACTTTAGAAATTGGCTACAACAATGTATGGTGAATAGAGGCCACCATTTGGAGGATTTCATTTGTAAAATGAAATGAAGAAAAACTGTAGACCTTTGTTTAAATAACAGGTTAATCATTTTTTTAATAGCAGTTACCTTGGTCTTTTTGTCAACCTTTAAAATGTGGGAGGTATTTCTGTCACATCCTGTATATATGTACACACACCCCTTTTATATATATATATATATATTTGAAAATATTTTTGTAGGTACAAAATTTAATAATAGAAATAAAAGTGTGAAGCTTAATATTACTAGACATATTAAAAGAGAAGCAACCAGTTTCACTCCTGCTCTTCAGGCCTCCACGGGAGATTCAACTTAAATTAAAACACTAGAAAATGTGCAATGAGAAGGAAAAGGGGGAGAAAAAATATGAGCTCAAGGAGCTAGAGACAAATAACAGTGAGCTCATATTTTTTTTTTTTTTACTTCCCCTTTTCCTTCTCATTGCACATTTTCTAGTATTTTAATTTAAGTTGAATCTCCCATGGAAGCCTGAAGAGCGGGAGGCAAACCAGTTGCTTCGCTTTTAATACGCCTAGTAATATTAAGCTTCACTCTATATATATATATATATATATATATATATATATATATATATATGTACATATACTTCCATATATATATATATATATATATATATATATACACACACACACATTCATTTACTTTTCTTTTTAACTCATTTCAAAATGTTTTAAATTTGATTTTCTAAATAAGACAAAAATAAATAAAAACTATTCTCAAAAGTTTTAAATAACACTGAATTTGCCACATGAAACATGGTGAAATAAATAGTTGACTGAATAAAGCAAGAGAAAACTGTCTCATTTTGTTGTAATGTCTAGATTTTGTGAATGTCATCAACAAGTAAGGCAGGAAAGAATCAATATACATGCATACATTCACCACCCCCTCCCTACCCAGCCCAGCCCAGCCCCACAACCTGTGATGGCAAAATGAGCATGAGAAAAAAAAAAAAAAGATGAGAAAAATGAATCAAGTGAATGAATTTGATTGGTTGACTGCATCCAAACTTAGCAGGAGAAGGAAGAGGAGGACTAGATGAATTCATATCACAGATAGAGTGAGGTCTCTCCTCTTCAGCCCCAGTCAGGATTGGTCCACAGCCATCACTTCCATTGTTACACCCGAAGAATCTGCATGCCCAATTGACAGGTGATTGTCATTCAATGTCTGGTGTGACAGTTCACCGTTATGGTGGTGCTGGTTTACTGAAGCAACGCGATAATTTCCCTGATTATTGATGTCCGTTGTCTTAAAAGTGGCAATGTTATGGAACATGGAGACAGGGAAAGAGACAAGACCTGCAGAAAAAGAAAAAAAGAGAATAAACAAAATTAAGACCAGGACACATTTAAGGGGAACAATTATAGCAAAATCAGGCATTTATTTACATCATCTCCCCATTTATATTGAGGTTTAAAATATGATATTGATGAGGAGAAAACATAAAAACCAATTTCTGACTTCCAGTTAATTATCTCAAATACTTGCTTATGCGATGCAATGAAGTTATTTTTGTTTATTACTTCAAATTACATTACCAGTGAATATCATCACTCTGATCTTGTCACTGCCATGGTAAAAAGCAATGAGAGAAACACAAACCATTATAATCTAAAAAAGATTCTCAACCACTGTGCCATGGCGTACTAGTGCCCCAAAATATTGTAACGGCATACATGTATATGTGTGTGTGTGTGTGTGTGTGTGTGTGTGTGTGTGTGTGGAAGTAGAAATGGTACAGCGTTAGTATCTGAATAAATGAATAAGCATTAAACTTTTTTATCTCACATTAGCTAAAAAGGCTTTATCAGTTTTATTACAATTTTCTACTTCTCATTTTTATGTAACTTAGGCTTCTCAACCCTAAATAACATAAAAAATAAGAAGCGAGAAAGACTACGCTCAACTGAAGAAATGAGGGTCTGCTTATTGCACAGTCGACCAAACATTGAAGAAATCGTGAAAAAAAAAAACAAAAAAAAAAAAAAACAAACAAAAAACACCAGGCACAAGTTTCATACTAAATAAGACGCAGAAATAGTTGAATAGAAACATTGAAATGAAGTAAGTTCATATTTGTGTGTATTTCTTTTTTATCTATGATTTTATTTCATAACATTTAAATGTATATCATTTAAAAATTTTGCTAAGTGTGCCGTGATATTTTTATTTACTTCTAGGTGTGCTGGTGCTTAAAAAGGTTGAGAAACACTGATCTAATATATCAGGAAAAACCAAAATATAAAGATTATGATCACTGACAGGTTATAACCAATTAACTATTTACTTCCTCGTTAATTCTGTGTTTTCATATGAAGGTTTATTTTTGTTCTTTTTTTTTTTTCAAGCAAGATGGACACCATTAATGGGTCAACTTGTAAAAAAAAAAAAAGCAAACAGTTTTTGTAGATTAGCATTCACTAGACCAGTGGTTCCCAAACATTTCTTCTCTGGGATGCATTTTCAGAATTAAAATTTGCTTGTGCCTTACCAAATTTTATGTGATAAAATGTACATTTAAAAATAGAAAAAACAAAGAGAGAGTTAAAAGGAAATAATCATGGATTCAAAGTCAGAATATTATCATTGATAACTCTCTCCTCTAATTTGCAGAGCCTAGTTACTATATTCTTAGTACTTGATATAATGCAAAAATATCACAATGATAAAATCAGTCAATAATTATCTATAATTATTTATACTGGAATTCATGCATGCAATTACAAGTAATCCATAATATTTTAAATTTTTGGCATATGATTTTTTAAAAAATGTTTCTAAGACTTTGATCGTCTTTCAATCGTTCTGCTTCACCTGCTATCCTTGTGTGTTGCACCATTTGGGAACCATTGCACAAGACCATCCTCAAACCACAGGATTAAAAAATATGGATTTATTTTTTTTAGCATTTTAGAAGCGGGCCCTGTTTATAATATAAATACAGTGTTAAATCGATCCTTGAATTTTTAAGTCTTGTAATTGTTTTTATTTACAAATGTCAAGTTTGAAACTGTGCTTATACCATTGATACCTGTATGTCTTTTTTACCCAATTCTTCTAAAATTATCAAAAAAAAAAAAAATAAAAAAAATAAAAAATAAAAAAAATAAAAATCAATATTTTTTTCAATTCTTACAAATGTTGTGGCTTGCAGAAGGTTGAATGAATCCTCATCTACAGAAATTATTCCCCTGCCCAAAAGCGTACCCTATTTTTTACGAGCTGACCATTCAATTTATAGTGCCACAAGATGAACTACAAATTATTGTTTTACAGTTTGGAGTCTTGTTAAGTGAGTAACAGTGAGTTTATTATTCAATGAGGACACCATGTGTCAAAATTGTTATAATCCAACAACACAGAGCAACATTCATGTGCTTCTTTTACAAGCTATTGCTTGGGAGACTGTTACTCACAAAACGCCATGCAAAGGTGACCAAAGTTGGTTTAAGCCAACAAATATCTACAATATTTAGCTGTCCCCCCACGTGGGGTCGCATGTGGCACAAGGCTGAGTTTTACGTGGTCACCCGAGCCTGTAGGCCCGGCCAAAAATATAGCCTTCGACTCGCCTAGGCGAGTTCGAGAGCTGTCATAACCTCCCCGAACGAAACCTTGCCCTTCGGCAAAGCTTCGTCCGGGTTCCTCTCTGCTAATGCAGAGAGTTTGACAGATGGTGTGGACTGTAACTTAATACAGCAACAAATATCTACAGAAATGAATAAAACACTAATATCAAAAAGAACCAAGTAATTTCTTTTTTTAAATTTATATGTGAAACAGTATATTTTAAAAACTGGGAAATATTTTGTGATAAGTTTTATAGTAAAGAGAAGTGCAGATATGTTTAAGAGAATTTTGGGAGCGCTTTTGCATAGAAGACAAAACAAAAAAAAGTTTTTTTTATCTGTTAAAATCTTTATCTTACAAATAAAGAGGGTTTCTCAAATTACTTTTAAATTAACTGGCAGAACATTTATTTTTATTACTAATTTTGACAAGTTTCTTCACTTATTTTTCTTTTAAAGAAACATTAGTCTTTTTAGCCAATCCATTTTTAACATTAGGCAACAAACAGTACATCATGGAATCAAGTCAAAAAACAGTAGGAGAAAGATTAGAGATGACAATAATCCTGACACCTTTGCTGGCCTAATTGGTTAAGGCACTGACCACAAAAGCTCCCATTATATAGAATGTGCATTGTTCAAATACCATCTAAAGCTATTTCTTTATTTTGAATTCAACCAGATAAATAAATGCACAAAAATAAGGTGTGACAAAAAAAAAAATTTTAAAAATGAAGAAACTAGTCAAAACTAATAATAAAAAACAAATATATAATAATAAAAATATTTAATTTAAAAATTGCAAAACAACTTAAATAAATGATGGCATTTTTATAATTGCGATAAAAATGAACATGTTCAAGCAACACGAAAATTTAACAAAAAAAAAAGTAAAAAAAAAAAGAAAAAAAAAGAAGAAAAAGTTACATTACTATAAAGTCATAATATCAAAATACAAAACAGCAGTTTAACTGGTTTATTGATCTTCTTTTGGCGCAACTCAATCGACGACAGGAAATATACCCAACAGCTAAAATAAACACCAAAGACCAGATATTATATACTAAATCTATAATTATGAAAGGCTAATTACATTTAAATCTAACACACACCATTATTATACAACATCTGGTCTTTGATATTTATTTGTTGTGCATATTTCTTATCCTTGATTGAGCTCTGATGAGAGAGGAGTGATAACTGGTTAAGCTCAGTTTTTGTTAATTGTATTTTGATATTACCACTTTATGGTAATGTAATTTTTTTTTGTTACCACCTTTTTTTTTGTTATATTTTCTCATCTTGTTGTTGTTTTAACATGTCTGTTTTTATTGATATTATTAAATTTTGTATCCTGGTTAAAATATTTCAATAGCATTTCCTTTTATTTTTTTTCTATTTTTTTTTTTTTTTTTGCAAAAACAATTCTGAAGCTAAAAACAAGAAAAAAAGTTGATATTTAGATGATCTTATACTGCAAAAAGACTTTTTCGAATTACTTTGATAATATTTCTCAAACATTTTTGGTCAGTAGGATGAGAAAAGAAAAAAATAATGGTATTACACAAATAATGGATCCTATATAGGGGAACACCAAAATTTGGCATTACTTCTGTTATGCCACAATTTTTTCACTAACAATTCAGAGTTTAACTTGTGTATATATTTGATGTTTAGATTCAGTACATAAAAAAAAAAAAAAAAAAATCTCATGTCAAAAGTTCATTTTAAAGTCTTTTTGCAATAGGAAAACAAGTGAAAAATAAATAAAATAACCATTAATGTTGGGAGTTGTGTCTTTAGATGAGCGATCTCTAATCTGTGTGCAACAAGATTGTCCTAAGTGTGCTGCAAAATAAATGCAAGGATTGTTATAACAGCTACATTGCATCCTTACAGAAAGTTGTGTTCATTAGTTAGAGAATAAAAGCAATACATAGACATGAAGTAACAGACAAAATTTATATATTTATATGTAATTTGTATTCATCCACATGCTTAAGTGACACCAGGAATCATACTAGGTACCTTTCATAAGACAGCGAAAAGTTTCTACATGAAGGGGTTGGTTGTTAATTGATCTTTTTTTCATAAAAAAAGATCGCTTTCTCCCTTGATGTATACTATTCTCCCTCTCGTGGACACAGACATGAATACATTGAGATAACAGAATTTACTTAACTAGTTGGACAAAGAGAAGCACAGAAGTTCAATTTCTTTACCAAAAGATCCTCATCTATGTTACTGGTGGCAACACACACATACCAGCTATCATAGAAACTAGAAACACCCATGAAAATTTCTTGGTTCTCCTATTTTCATTATCTGAGAAATCTTAATTTTTAATGATTGAATATGCTCATGGCAAGTTCTACAATAAAACATCTGTAGAAATTCCTCTATCTCATTGTCAAATATTTGAGCTTAACAACTTTAGCAAAATATTGCAATAATAATCATAAATATGAATGCTGGTCATTATTTAAAGAAGTAAGGGTGTACAAATGAACGATTTAACAACTTTTTTCATTTCAAAGTGGGATCTTGGACAAGTGATGGAGTATCCCATGTTATTCACTAACAACCATTATGTTACTTGATTATCCAACAAAATCTATTGCCACTATTATTTTTACTATTTTTTTGATTTGATACTTAATGAAAACAACTGACAATAACTCAACTTTAAAAAAAATGAAAACAATCACTTCAAAATGTTGTATGCTCCA